TTTTCTCATTTTTCGGCTTCTAGGGGCCCTCACCGGGCCCCGGGACCGTTTAAAAACGACTCAGGATTAAAAACCGGTCTTGGGGAATGGGTCGACCCTTCCGCGGACCCCGTATTGAAAAAATCACGACATCGGATCTCTGGGTTCCGCGCTTTCCAAAGCATCTAGCGGCGCAGCCGGTGCAGAACACTAGGGGCACATGGGGAATCCTGGAAACCTCGGGAATCCTGGATCTTGCCGTTCTCATGCCTTCTTTTTGTTCCACCGTGAGGCCATGGGCGAACAGCCTCTCGCCTGCCACCTGCAGCCGCGCTTGGCCTCCACTGCTGTGAAGGCTGAGCGCAGCGCAGGTGGGCAGGACTCGCCTCCGCGTGCCGTGCGCGCTGAGGCGAGCTGGCACGCCGAGCGCGCCAAAACACCCCGAGAAGTGGCTGAGGCGCCGGGGCGCAGAAAGGGGGCCGCTCGGGAGCGCTGGTGCCTGGCAGCGTTGCTCGCAGCGTATCACTTTCGTGGAAGTCCCGGAACGTATCATTATAATGACCTCTTGCTCCTCGCACAGCGCCGCGGCGCGCCGCTCGGTCTGTCCTCGGCCGCCCGCACGATGCTTGCCTCTGGCACCTGCTCGGCGCTCGAGGACGGCCTTGACGTCGGGAAAGGCCGATTCGGCAACAAGGCTCGAAACCGGATGCTCGAAAGCTTGCCCTCATGACCTCCGGCTCCTCTGCCTCGGATCTCGGTTGCGACGGAGGCCCCGTGCGGATCTGCGCCCGGCCCCGGCGCGGCGTGCGCTCCCTATGAGACGGGTGGACATCAACTCCCTGCAAATTCAAACCGATTTCCTGAGGTATCCTCGGATCCCTAGACAGGACAGGAGCCTCAGGAGGAGGAGGAGGGGGAGGGATACAGGGGCTCGAGCTCAGCTCCAGGAACCTGGACTTGGGCACAGTCTGGAGACACGCCTCAGGAGGAGGAGGAGCAGGGGGAGGAGGAGGAGGAGGAGGATGAAAAGGAGGAGGAGGAGGAAGAGGAGCAGGAGGAGGAGGAGGAGGAGGAGAAAGAGGAGGAGGAGGCGGAGGAAGAGGAGGAGGAGGAGGAGAAGGAGCAGCAGGAGGAAGCGGAGAAAGAGGAGGAGGAGGAAGAGGAGGAAGAAGAGGAGGAGGAGGAGGGTTAGGGGGAGGAGGAGGAGGAGGAAGAGGATGAGGGAGGAGGAAGAGGAGAAGGAGGAGGAAGGACGAGGAGGAGGAAGAGGAGGAAAAGAAGGACGAGTGTAAATCCAAGACTCAACAACGACGTTGGAATACACCATCCCTCCAAACTCCCTCTTCATAAGACCTAACAGGGGTTCATTTCCACTGAGAGAAATAACCCGTTGGGGGACAGTCGTGTGAGAATCCTGAAGCGTGCCAAAACACCAATCTCAAGGCCTCAACGAGTTGACCTGATTGTTGCGTCTCGACGATCCAGAATCTTGCCAGAACACCGTTCCTGGGACTTGACTGCCGCGAATCAGCGCAACTGTTGCGCATGGACAATCCTGAATCGCTCCCCGACGCCATTTCTGTTACGTGAAAAATAAGAACCAGTGAAACGCTTACAACTTGTTAAGCCCAGTGTGCGCGTCGCTAGGGCGAGAACCACATCTTGACAAAGAAGAGATCTCATCCGTGAAGCTCTTGCACACGTTTATGACGTGCGCACGCGGCGATTAGGCGAGACTCAAATTTTGAACACCAGCCGCCCACACTCCGTGAAACTCTTGCACTGTTTTGCAACGAATGTGCGCGGCGCCGAAGCGAGAACCGCATTTTGAAAACAGCCCGCCCTCAATCCGTGAAGCTCGTGTGCAGTTGTTGTAAAACTGATGTGCACGGCGCTGGGGCGAAGACCACTTTTGAGAAGCGACCCGCCCTCCATCTGAGAAGCTGTTGCCTTTTTATCTCCAGGCTCACGCGTGGTGAGGAAATCTGAGGCGGAACGCTCGGCCCGCCCTGTCGACTGGCCTCACGGTGCGGTAGGGCAGAGTCATGGGCTAGGCATAGGAATGGAAGGGGAGGAGGAGGAGAAGGAGGATGCGGAGGAGGAACATGATGCTTCGCTTCGAAGTGTGCTGCCCGAAAACCCGTCGGACCTCATTGAGCTGCTCGGGCGTCGTATCTTGTTGCCATGTGAACGCGACCCCGAGCTTCCGCCGCCAGCGCCAAATCAATACTACGTGTGCTGCTGTGAGCAGCTCGCTGGAGATTTGTTCGCTGATGGGTACAATTGCGATCGCCAAGTCCAGAATGCGTGCGTCAATGCCTGAGCCGTTGTTGCTCTCCACCCTTCCCCTCCCCCGCCTCGCACCAAGTGGGACTTCCTTGCGTCGGCGGTCTTTGATGGAGGGGTAGAAGGGGCAGCTCAGTGCATAGTCAGGGCAGAATTGCTAGCTGTGCTGAGAGCTCTGCAGCACGCATGCCATCCGTCCTGTTGTGATTCGCACAAGCAGCGAGCTTCTGTTACTCGGATTCACGGGGCGAGGCAAGACACGCTGTTGCCACCCGCCCAGTGCACACTCCGACCTTTGGAGCTCAACTTGGGCCAAAATTGAGGGCGCCCCCAGTCGGGGAATTCCGTGAACGTTCAAGAAACCCACCCCACCCCAGAGCAGCGCAGAGGAACGCCCGCTGGAGTCCTCGCAAGTCATGTTTTACGCTGGTCGCTGGGCGAAGCAGATTGCCAAACGGCGGAGAGTTGCGGTTGCAACTCGCCCTCGGCTTGCTCGTGCCTCGCGCCTGGGAGAGGGCGGCGGGGTGGGCGGGAACGACTCCTTGGCGGCCGTCGGCACGAAGGGCCCCAGTCGTCACGAGCTGCAGCAGGCTCGGGGCCAAAGAACAAACGACGCCAACATGCCTCGATCGATCGTCGAGGATCGATCGATCCTCGATCGGTGGTCGAAGTCTCGATCTGCCCCACCCTCGAGGGAACACGACGGCCGCCACGCGCGCAGGCGCGGGGAGCGGGTGCTGGTGGTGGGCAAGTGGGCGCAGGCCGAGGAGGTGCGGGCTTCGGTCGACGGGGCCTTCCACGGCACCGTCGGGGCCAAATGCCGCGCCAGGACCACTGCCCAACGGTGCAAGCTGTCGCGCACGTGCTCCGAGTCCGTGGCCTGGGGGAAGAGGGCGCTTGCGGGGCCTGACCGTGCCAGAATTCTGTTTCGTGGGCAGTGGATTCATGTCGAGATCCGGCCCCTTGAATTTCCCAAGCTGTCCAGCTCACAGATGTGCTGATCGTGAGCTGTCGGTTTTGAGTTTTGTGCGGTAGGTCACTAACCACTAACACATATGCTGCTTTCGTGTGTGTCTCAAAAGGAGGAGGAGGAGGAGGAGGAGGAGGAGGAGGAGGAGAGGAGGAGGAGGAGGAGGAGGAGGAGGAGGAGGGGAGAGGAGGATGGAGGAGGAGGAGGAGGAGGAGGAGGAGGAGAGGGAGGAGGAGGAGAACGAGGGGAGGAGGAGAGGAGTGGGAGGAGGAGGAGGAGGAGGAGGGGAGGGGAGCGAGAAGGGAGGAGGAGGAGGAGGAGGAGGAGGAGGAGAGGGAGGAGGAGGGAGATCGAGGAGGAGGAGGAGGAGGGGAGGAGGAGGTTGGAGGAGGAGGAGGCGGAAGGAGGAGGAGGGAGGTGGTGGAGGAGGGGGGGGAGGAGAAGAAGGAGAAGGACAAGGAGGAGGAGGATGAGGAGGAGGAGGGGGAGGAGGAAGGGGGAGGGGGATGATGATGATGCTGATGCTGATGATGATGATGAGGAGGAGGAGACGACCGTCAAAGGGGGGAAGTCAGTCACCCCTACGCTCGCGGAGGCGGCAGCCGTGGCGCTTCGTCGTTAAAGTCGAAGGATGGGTGGATGGATGGATGGATGGATGGATGGGTGGATGGATGGATGGATGGATGGATGGATGAGGAGGAGGAGGACGAGGCAAACCGAACTTCGAGGATCGAGCGTCGGCCTTGTCCGCCATCTCCGGGCCTCCATGAAGGGGGCTCCCCGTCGCCCCGGCTGGATCCGCCCTGGTATTCTTGCCAGGGCGCTCCCCAGCAGAGGTCCACGGATCGAGTTGACCCCCTGGCTTAGGTCGAGCATGTCCCCCTACAGGTAGATTCTGGAGGAAAGTCTCAAAGTAAGCAAAAACGGTCAACACATAATCGAAACATTTTCTGACTACTTTTGAATATTCCTCCTGTAGAGGGACATGCCCGACTTAACCCCAAGCTCAAACACGCTTGCGTCGTGGAAAGGCAGCGACGGGAGAACCTTGGCCGTTTTCTCTCGGCGGCGAGCGAGGTGGGAAAGTGAGAAGGAGAAGGCCTTCTCAGAAGGCGGCGCAGGCTTCTCAGAAAACCTCGGGCCTTCTGAAACGTTTTCCGCGTCTTCGGGGAAGGCTTGGAAAATTTTATAAGACCGGGGGGCTTTCGAACCTTCCGAGAAGACCCGCCCCTTCTCACTCCCCCTCCACGACAAGCGCCTTCTCACTCCACCCGCCCGGGCTCGCCGCCGATTTTCAGCCTCCCACGGCTCGCTGGGCCCCGGGACCGTCAGCACCCGGCCCGGGACGCGAAACCTGCCCTGGGGGAAGGGTCGGGGCTGCCGCGGGGCCCGTGCGGAGAAGTCAAGGCATCTCTTGTCTGGGGAGGGGGACGTCCGCGCGGGCCCGGCGGGGGCTGGTCAGGACTGCCTCTGGGGGGGGCGTGGCATGCTTCCCACATCAGCAGCTTCCGACGAGCCTGCGCACGTGGGACGTGGCTCTGCAACGGCAGGGGTGCGCAGGTCAGAGCCGCAACTCGGAACGACAACAACGACAGCCACGACGACGACGGAAACCGCGGCGATGACGACATCAACGACGACGATGACAGCCGCAGGTCGTGGGCGAGGACGACGAACGGCAGCCACGACGAGGAGCCCCCTCTGCGTTCCCGTTCGCCCTGCGTCGCCCGCCCGGCCGTGGCAGCCCGGCTGGGTGCCCGCGCTCCTGGTAGGGCTCGGACGCCTTCCACTTCTGGTTCTCCTCCAGGCACGCCAGGTACTTGCCGGCCTCTGTTCGGCACTTCTTGTCGTAGTTCTGTGGGTACCGCCGCGCCTCGGCGGCGGAGCGGAACGGCGACAGAGCCAGGCGAGAGAGGAGGGGCGAGATGAACCCTGGAGAGTTTCTCGCTCGTGTAAGGGCCTGTCATCTCCTCGTGGTCGTCGCGTTCCTCGCCGTCTTCGCCGTCTTCATGTGCTTTCGTAGCCTGCTCGAAAATCTTAGCAATGCCGACATCTACTCTTCCCACCCCCCTCGAATTTTCCGTTACCATCCTCTCAACCGTTTCCTTGGTCCCCCATGCCTGTCAGATCTTCGCCCATGTATCATGTCGCTTCGTCTCAGCTTAGGTCTCTTCGTGATGTCGGCCTCCCCTCGCAAGCACTCTGTTATTCTGGGCTTCGACACGTGGCCCAAGGGCGAGGCGAGGGAGGAGGGGGGCTCTAGGCCTGGGCCGGTGCTCAGCCGATCTGCCCATACCACCCCCGCGTGTAAACTGGGGGGTGGCGGTCCCGACCAGTCGGTCAAACCAGCCGCCAATAGCAGCCACGATCTGGTCTGCGGACCGGGGGGGGGGGGGAAGGAGGAGGAGGAGGAGGAGGAGGAGGAGGAGGAGGAGGAGGAGGAGGAGGAGGTGGAGCGAGGAGGAGGAGGAGGAGGAGGAGGAGGAGAGGGTGGAGGGAGGGAGGAGGAGGGGGAGGAGGAGGAGGAGGAGGGAGGGAGGAGGAGAGAGGAGGAGGAGGAGGGAGGAGGAGGAGGAGGAGGAAGGAGGAGGAGGAGTTAGGAGTAGGAGTAGGAGTAGGAGTCAAGCTAGCCAGCTCGAGCGAGTCAAGCATGGCATGCCCAGTCCCACCCGCCCTCCCACAACATAAGAAGCAAAGCTGGGACAACTGGGGGCCGAAGTCACACCGGCCAGCCGGTTTGTGTGTGTTCTTATTTTTGTTTGTTGTTTTTGGTCGATTTAGTGTTGTGTTTTTGGTTTTTTGGTATTTTGATCTGTTGTTTTGTTTTTTTTTTTTTTTGGTGTTGATGTTTGTTGTTGTTAGTTTATTGATTCGTTATTATTATTATGTTTTGTTGTTATTGTTGTTTTATGATATTGTATGTTGTTTTTCTGTCTTGTTTGTGTGGTTGATGTTTTGGTACTGTTGTTTGTGTTGTTATTATGGTGTTTTTTAACTTTTGTTTGGTCGTTGTGTTGTATGATATTTTTTATGTATGGTACAGCTGATGCGGCCGCGATGGCGGGTGCCGACGGGAACTGGCGAGCGCGTGTTGAATGCCGCGCACGCATTGCCAGACAAGTCGAGAATGGCCCGGTACACCGCAGGAAACCAGAGGTGGCCGTGTCGAGAACGGCCCGGTAAGCCGGGTCCCATTCCTGCCATGCATTTTGCGACGTGGACGACAGGACGTCCATGCGACGGTGCCATTGACGGCGACGACTCTAGAAGGATTTGAGCATGCGCTCGCGGCGACGCGCGCGCATGTCGCCCGCGTGGTATTTTTTGCACAGGATTCGCGGCCTGGGTGCATGACAGAGCATCGCTGATGTGCCCGCGCGATGAGTGAATCGATGGATTAGACCGTTTAAGATTCTTGGTTTTTCCTTTATCTCATGATTGTTTTTTTAATGATTTCAAGGAGAGCCCGTGGCCGGAAAACATTGTGATTTTTTGTGAAAAAAAGCATTGGGTTTTTGATGTTTTTATGTTGAAATGCTTGCAAACACACGGTGTTCGGTAGGATTCTGACATGAACGCGCGCGTGTGCTCTTTGTTGTATTTTTTGCAATGGATTATCGCCGTGGACGACAGGACGTCCATGTCGAGAGGAAAAAATAAGAAAACTGTTGATTTTGTAGTGTTTTTGCCCCCATCAAAATGGGGTTCTTGTTTTCTTTGGACACCCCGCGCAGGAACAGGATCAACACACACCCACTCACACTCACTCACACTCTCATCATCAACCTCATCAGCATCTTCGATGATGCTCTCTCACATGCTTAGTCACTCACATACTCATCATCATCATCACTCGCACTCTCTCTCACGCTCACGAACATCATCATCATCATCATCATCGGCATCGGCATCATCCTCATTCAAACATCATCATCGCCACCACCTTCCACAATTCATTTCATCATCTCTTTCACACTCATCATTTCACCACCATCATCATTCCTCATCTCATCTTGTTGAGTAAATTGTGAGGAAGTCTCAGGCGGGAGCCCCCTCCCTATGGGGCCCGCAGATCATGTTGGTAATCCGAGCGGGTCATCGGAATCTTGTAACTGTCGTCACTTTTGAGCTCCCCAGGCTTGAACATGGAGGAAGTCTCAGGCGGGAACCTCGTCTGTGAGTAAATGGGGAGGAAGTCTCAGGCGGGAGCTCCCTCCCTATGGGGCCGCAGAGCATGTTGGTAATCCGAGCGGGTCATCGGAATCTTGTAACTGTCGTCACTTTTGGGCTCCTCAAGCCTGAATTTGGAGGAAGTCTCAGGCGGGAGCCTCGTCTGTGAGTGAATTCTGAGGAAGGCTCAAGCCGGGAGACCCCTCCCTATGGGGCCCGCAGATCTGTTGGGTATCCGACAAGGTCTCGGAACCTTGTAAATGTCGTCATTTTGGGGCTCGTCAAGCCTGAATTTGGAGGTAGTCTCAGGCGGAGCCTCGGTTCTGTGTGAATTGTGAGGAAGTCTCATGCGGGAGCTCCTCCCTATGGGCCGCAGATCATTTTGGTTAATCCGAGCGGGTCATCGGAAACCTGTAACTGTCGTCACTTTTGGGCTCGTCAAGCCTGAATTTGGAGGAAGTCTCAGGCGGGAGCCTCGTCTCTGAGTGTGAGGAAGTCTCAGGCGGGAGCCCCCTCCCTGTGGGGCCCGCAAATCATGTTGGTAATCCGAGCGGGTCAGGAATCTGGCTGCAGGTGCACGGCTTCAAGGAGTCTCTGATCTACCAGGAGGTCGCCGAGGTGCTGCGACAGGGCGCCGAAGGCGCCGACGACGACGGCCAGGCCGAGGCGCGGGCGCGGAGCTTGCTGATGTTCAGGCCCAGCGAAAGGGAGGTCACATGGCAGAGCTCGGGGGCGCACAGCGTGCGCCGCTCGGGGTTCACCCTGACGCACGCGTCCTACCTGACCTCCACGCTGTCGCAGGGCCAGACGCTGCGCAAGGGCGTCACATCGACTGCGCGAGAGACGAGGACGCTGGCCGCACGGGCATGTCGGACGAGCAGTGGTGGCTGCACCTCTACGTCATGTTCTCCCGCGCCACGTGCATGCGGAACATGATGATCCTGCGGCCGCCGCCGCGAGAGTTCCTGGAGTGCGGGCCGCCGGCGTCCCTGCGGAAGGCGCTCCTGGAGTTCGACAAGAGAACGGTTTTGTCCAGGGCGGAGGCGAAGCAGCTCGCGGCAGAGCTGGGCTTCGTGCTGCCTTCCGACTGAGCGCGGCTGCGCCTCGCTCGAAGCCCGCGGGGTTGTCCCAACGGCTTGGTCTTGCGCGCCATCGGCTCGCGGGGTTGTCCCGACAGCCTGGCCAGCGGGGTTGCAGGCCAGCGGGGTTGTCCCAACGGGTGCGCGACGTGACCAGTAGAGAACGCGCCTGTGCTGGCCGTGGCGGCGACGGCGCCGAGGAACATCGACATGCGCGCTCATGCAACAGGAAGGGGAGGAGGTGGCGGGGCGCGGAACAAACAGGGGGGCGAGGATGGGGACAACGTAAGGAGTGGAAGGGGGGCCCGCGCCAAGGCGAGAGGAAATATACGCAGTAGAGACAGCCAGGACGCCTCACCAACCACGAGGACGACGGTGATGGCTTTTTCCAGATTCGCCCAGAGGATTCTTATGTGGGGTTCTTCCGTCGGAGTAATTTTAGTAGTAGTAGTAGTAGTAGTAGTAGTAGTAGTAGTAGTAGTAGTAGTAGTAGTAGTAGTAGTAGTAATAGTAGTAGTGGTAGTAGTGATAGTAGTAGTAGTAGTAGTAGTAGTAGTAGTAGTAGTAGTAGTAGTAGTAGTAGTAGTAGTAGTAGTAGTAGTAGTAGTTTATGTAGTAGTAGTAGTAGTAGTAGTAGTAGTAGTAGTAGTAGTAGTAGTAGTAGTAGTAGTAGTAGTAGTAGTAGTAGTAGTAGTAGTAGCAGTGGTGGTATTAGTAGTAGTAGTAGCGCAGCAGCAGCAGTAGTCGTAGTAGTGGTAGTAGTGGTAGTAGTAGTGGTAGTAGTAGTAGTAGTAGTAGCAGTAGTAGTAGTAGTAGTAGTAGTAGTAGTAGTATAGTAGTAGTAAGAGTAGTAGTAGTAGTAGTGTAGTAGTCTTAGTAGTAGTAGTTAGTAGTAGTAGTTAGTAGTAGTGAGTAGTAGGTGGTGTAGGATTAGCTAGCGCAGCAGCAGCTATGCAGCAGCTTGCAGCTAGTCGTAGTTATAGTAGTAGTAGTAGTAGTAGTAGTAGTAGTAGTAGTCGTAGTCGTAGTCGTAGTCGTAGCCGTAGCCGTAGTCGTAGTAGTAGTAGTAGTAGTAGTAGTGTAGTAGTAGTCGTAGTCGTAGTCGTAGTCGTAGTCGTAGTAGTAGTAGTAGTAGTAGTAGTAGTAGTAGTAGTAGTAGTAGTAGTAGTAGTAGAAATAGTAGTACGAGGAGGAGGAGGAGGAGGAGGCCCCGCGCCGATCGGCGAGGCCAGATACAGAAAGCAACGCCCTCGTGCCCTCGCTCGCACTCCCGTCCCTCGCTCCTGCCCCGTGCCGTGCCTCGCTCGTTCCCTCGGTTTCGATCCCTCGACTCGGTGACCTGCGATTCCCTCGATTCGATCCCTCGATTCGTTCCCTCGACTCGATCCCTCGATTCGCTCCCTCGATTCGCTCCCTCGATTCGCTCCCTCGATTCGGTCCCTCGCTCCCTCGGCCCCCTCGCGCCCTGCCGTCCTGGTGCCCAGGCTCGTTCGCGCTCCCCCGCTGCTCCGCGCATCGCTGGCAGCTCGTGCCTCGAGCAGGAAGCCAGCCACAGAACAGCGCATCCCTTCCCTCGTGATCGGGCTCGCTCCCTCGCTCCATCATGCACTCTCGATGGATGAAAAAACGACCCTACCCTTGGTTGCAAGTGCGTGGTCTGTAAACCTCCTGGGGACCCCCAAAGCCTAGAGCCGCCAGGACGCGGCACATCACGCAGGGTTTACCCTGTCAGCCCACAGGAGTTTCAGAGCACAGCGCCTCGCAAACCAGGATAAGGTCGTTTTTTTATCCCCTTGACACTCTGCATTCCATGAAGTCCGGAGATGTCAAACACCAAGAGAGTCGACCCCACATAGACCGATTCCGCTCAACCGATGCTGCGCAGCCGAATCGGAGCTGGACCCAGGGCAGGCCACACAACCATGTTGCTCTGAAGAGCTACGGCTTTGCCAACGACCTTGCAACGCCTGCCGACTCCGCGCGCGACTCGATCTGGAGAGGATCGCTGCGCCGCGGCGCCGCTGACACCCGCGTGGGCGCGCATGCGCCATGCCGCTACCGCCCGCGATTGGTAGAAATGACCCGCAGGGCGCCAAATAACGCAGATTCGCCAACGTTTCCCGGTGCACGAGTCGGAGCGTCCTCGGGTCCCTCCGAGCTCCCTGTGTGCAAGATCATCACACTCCTCCAAAGGCCCATGGCCCCACCTCGCGGGGCTCTTGGCTCGACCCTCTCCCGGCCTCTCGCAGGACTCGCCTAGGCCCAGGGAGCCCCCGAGACGAGCCAGCAGAGTCCCACGAGGACCCCGTAACGGTCCTGGAGGCCTCGTGGAGGCCAAAGAGCGCCCCGAGACGGCCCCAGAGGCCCCAAGACGCTCCAAGAGAGCCTCAACATGACCCCAGGAGGGTCCCAAGGTGCTCAAAACATTGCTTTCCAACCGTTCCTTGAAAAATTTTAGCGCGCCTTTTGGGCTTCCGACGCTCCCTAAGAGGGGGAAGTTCGAAAGGGCTTTGGGGCACTTTCCCAACAATCTAGTCCCCACGACCCTCAGCATGCCCCCCAGAAGCGCTCAAGAGGTCACCAAACGGTCACCAGGGGACCTCTCCAAGAGGCTCCCGAGAGGCCTCCCAAACGCCTCCAGAGCTCCCTCAATATACCTCCAAGAAGCTACATAGAGACATTCTGAGATACCCCCCAAGACATCCAGTAGGCTGGCCCACAACTGAATCATTGTGGCGGGAATGGCCGAAACCTACTAGAAAATACCGGTTGAGAGCCAGCCGTGATTTCAGGTGAGTGCGCAGTGTAATGTGTGGCAGCACACCCCATTCAGACTCATGCATGAGTGCCGCCAGGATGGCCTACATCCATAACCTCCCATCCTCAATCGATCATATTGTGCTTCTTGGTAACACTTATCCTGGCCATGTGCTCGGAATGATATCTCAGGCCCGCACGCAGACGAGAAACGAGTCGAAGTGCTTTGAGCACGGATGGTCCTGGCGGTGATCAAGGGGCTTGGGGCAACGAGGAGCGAGTGAATGCACAGGAGCAACAACTCACCTATGCAACTGGTCAGTATGATACTTATGTTTTGTTGTCCTGTGAATGTCTTGGCGACGTGCGTAACATCACAGGCTCGAGGAACATTTGATTTCATTGACGGGCTGTTGTGGAATGCTGGGCTATGGCCTGTTGCAGTCTGCGTGCTAGCGAGGATCGCATGCACGTCAAGACGAGACGCCGGCGAGTGAAGCAGGACGCCAATACGAGATATACGAAACATGGGACCGACTTGAGGTTGAGGTGAACAAGGAAGTACAGTCGGGGTTGATTGAAGAGGACACGCGAGAAGACATAAGACGCTTCCGAGTGTCAAATTGCCATCGAAATTTAGAAGGCATCGGTCGCGAAACACAGGACGCAAGGGTACCCTTGATGTGGCAGGGTCGACCTACTAATCAACCTCGACAGTAGATGGGGGGAGGAAAACCAAATTCGTTGCATGTGAATGCATGTGAAAGGAACTGGAGGGGAGGCGAGGCTGACGTCAACGCACGGGACAACGGACTACACAGAATCAAGCGGATGACCAACCACACTGACATGCACAGCAAGTAAATCGTAAACGCGCCAAGCTTACTGGCCAACGAGCCATCGACCAACGAACATCACCCGCAACATCCTTCGAGTCAGGGAATGACCTCCGAGCACTCCCGCGAGTAGGCGCACGACCAGACAGGCGTCGGCGACGTGCTGCAGACCTCCCCCGATGTACGTTCGGCCTCGCGGGCGGCGTGACGTCGCCTTGGCCTGGGCCGTCCGTCCCCCTCTGCTCACACGCGGGCACCGGGACAGCATCCTCTCGAAATCTGCCTGGAGACTCCTCCTGGTCACCGCCCTGGTGAATCTTTCGAGTTGGGCCGTGGTGGCGAGGGCGCCTTGCCCCATGGACCAACATGTTGAAACAGACGCCAAGCGTATTGTTCCTTACCTAATCAACAGCTTTCGGCCACAACTCGGGTCCGCGTGGGCTTGGCGGTATAAGCAAAACCTGTCTGACAGCCTGGATCGCAGCCAGTGCCATATTTTAGCTTGGATTTGTACGCTCTGTGAACCAAGCTATACGGTGTAAGCTTCGCATTGTAAGCTATGTGGTGCACACTCTGAGGTGTAAGCTAGTCGATGCAAGCTGTGTGGAGTGAGATATGCGGTGGAAGCTGCGTGGCGAAAGCTGCGGTAGAGGCTATGTGCTGTGGTCTATGTGGGGTGGGCGATGTAATTTAAGATATTTGGTGTAAGCCAGGAGGTGTGAGCTATGTAGTGTAAGCAAGGCGGCGTATGCTTCTTCCCCTGGACAAGCAGCATGCCAATGTCACGGGCTGCGTGCCAGCTTCCTCAAGATGCGTATGCCTGAGGTGGTCCAACTGCGCCGGGGAAAGCACTGAGCGGACTCTTCTTCCTCAGCGCTGGGTGAACTATTTCTGGGATCCATCTCCCGTACAGTCGGGGCGTTGACCTAAAGAACCCTAAATAAGGAACGAGGCCCCTGTTTCCCATAAGTTCAACCTCGATTCCCCATGGAAAACCTGAGGACCACCCGAGCCTTTTCTCCACGAGCTGCTTCTGAACGGAAAAGGTCTCTTCTTCCGCGCCCCGACTGCCGTGCCAACGCGCAAGAGACACCGCGATACTGCTGGGACACGGCACAGCGCCAGCACGCAAGAGGCGCACCGCTATCGGGTCGGGCGCAAGGGGGGGATAGCAAAGGGGGGGTTTGAGAATCAGCTCACGTAGCTGATTTTCCCGGCGCCTCCCGGCGCCCGAGGCGGCCATGTATCGAAGAATGGGCCCCTCGGTGAGGCCGAAATCAGCTGCATGCAGCAAATTTCGTAACCCCCCCTTTCCCAATCCCCCCCTTTCGCCCGACCCGACGCTAGCAGGGCGGCAGTGCCAGGAGAGGGCGGCGACGGGGCGCCCACGGCCGCCACCGGCCGGAAAAACACCGGCACCGGCCCACCGCGCGCGGGGCGCTCGCGAGGCGCCCACGGGGCGCCCACAGGGGCGGGATCCCCTGGCCGCGCCACCACGCGCGGGGCGCGCACGAGGCGCAAGACGGCAGGAGAGCCAAGAATCGAATCGATAAGTCGGATCGGCGATCGAAATGAATCGGATCGGCGGAAATCGGCGGCCGAGTCGAGAAAAGTCGAATCGGCGGAAATCGGCAGGCTAGTTAGCCTCCAAAAAAAATTCGGAACCCAAATCGGAATCCCAAGTCGAATCGAATCGAAATCGGAAGCCATCGAAATCGAATCGACTCGAATCGGAGGAATCGAAACGAGCCCTGAGACGGGCGCCCACCCGGCGAAGCGCTGGCCGATGCCTCCAGTCCCTTAGGACACCAACCCAGACATCCAACGGATTGAAACAATCAAGACGGACGTTTTTCACAAGTTTCGGCCTCGAAGGGCCCTCACCGGTCCCCGGGACCGTTCAAAACGACTCAGGATGAAACACCGGTCCTGGGGAATGGGTCGACCCTTTCGCGGACCCCGTATTGAAAGAATCACGACGTCGGATCTCTGGACATAAGAAGCCTTCATAGTGCAAGCAGGGACCCTCAGTAGTGCAAGCACTGTTTGCGCAAGAATGCCTCAAAAGCACGGTCCAAATACCCGGCTACAGCGGCCCACTCTGGCCTTCACGTTGGCTCTGGACAGCCCCTCCCCTCTGGCAAGGGCAAGCAGCGGCCAATCCTCCTCGTTGCCGGTCTCTTTCTTACGTACGCGCCGAACAATGCGGTCCCCGAAGACCTGCGGGAACCTCGGGAACTTGTGGGGGATCTCGAACTGCTGGAACCTTTCGAGGCGTCCTCCTCGGCCTATCTACTTCTCCTCCTCCTCCTCCTCGCTGTCCCGCACCTCCGTCAAGTGCCCTTCTCAGCCGATGGCCCTTGGCGAGAGTTCTACGACGGTTGCACATCTGCTCCGATGGGCCGTCTTTTGGCCAAATCATGACCTGCTGGAGACGACCCTGACGGGAAGCATGCGATTGAGCACGATGCCTTCAACTGGTCGCTATACAAAGCCACAAGCAGCAAACATCAAAGGCATACATGCGACCTCCTGCTAAGATTAGGCATGCCTCGGCAAACAAATCCTCCTGAGTATGTACGCAAGCGGCTCTCATCACGTTCGCTCGCGACCTTTGCGCATCGGGTTTGGAAACATGACCTCTGTGCCACGCCTGCCCACTTGCTCAACGACAACCATGTGCTCCGCAAACGCGTTCGTGCCGTCACGGCATGGGCCTCACGGACGCCAAGCGTGTACACGGAAACCAAGAGCGGTGGCAATCGGAGGTACTTGCCATGGTCCTCATTGCTGCGCAACTCGATCTCTGCATCGCTCAACAACCGAACGCATTGGTCCATGATTAACGTAAGGCGCCCAAGTGGCACTAGCAACGACGATGCTCGGCACGCTGGTCCAGACCGTAAGTCAACAATTCTTCGTTCGGCCACCATGAGAACCTGCGTAAGCGGTGCCCTTGAAATGATGAAGCAAGATAAGGCAGACAACCGTTCCAAGCAACGTGCGTCCTCCACAGTGGCGACGGGAATAAGACCGACATGGAACTTGCCACTGTGTCTTGCGCACATATTGGGATGCTCGATTTGTGAAAAATAAATGGGGTTGTAAGGTCCTCCAGGGACCATGCTCCAGATTTGCCAGAATCTCTTGCCAAAAACCCTCGGCCATTCTTGGCATTCTGTCTTGTACCTCTCGGCGGGTGCGCCGGGCAAGGCCCCCAGGACCTTCCCGCCCAGCACGACCCCAAGAGCCCTTGGAGAACCCGCCCAGGAGTCCCCTGGAAGGTCCCCAGAGTGCCCCGGAGGCCCCCTTGAGGGCGATGGCGGACTGGGTCGCTGGGCCCGCTGACCCACCGCCGGCGAAGCGTCACTGTCTACGTGCTGCCCCTCGGCGGCCGCGCCTCGGGAGCTGGCGGTGGCTGGCGCGCTTGGAGCAGCCGGTGGACAGCACCTCCCGCATCGCCCTCTCGGGCAGCCGCTGGCCAGACATCGCGCCGCGGCGGGCGGTGGGGCCGCCCCCCCACCCCCCCCTCGAGCCCCACCGCAAGGCAAGGCTGTTGGGCCAGGCTCGGGTCGAGTTTTCTGGGCGCTCTCTGCCCCTGTCCGGCTCCCACCTGCGACGACGATGAAAAAGCGACACCGGCGGTGACGGCGGTAACGACGATGACGACGAAGGCGACAAACGCTGGTGACGACGATAACTACGACGAGGACGACGACGACGACGCCGACGCCGACGCCGACGCCGACGCCGACGACGACGACGACGCCGACGACGACGACGACGACGACGCCGAAGACGACGACGACGACGACGCCGACGCCGACGACGACGACGACGACGACGACGACGACGACGACGACGACGACGACGAGCGGCGAGGCGGGCGGGGCGCGGAGCGGCCTCCCGCGCCTGCGCTTCGCCAGGGAGGGGGGAGAAAACAACATCGAAGGAGAGGACCCCCCCCAGATGTTGAAACGAAGCGAAGATCGGGACAAACTCGCCCCTTCTCACTTCCCCCCCTGGCTCGCCGCCTAGTTCTTGGGCCTCCAGCGATCTTCCAGGGGACCTCCTGCGCGGAGGGGGGGCGGAGGGCGGCGGCACAGGGAGGCGCCGCCGACGACGGCGTGGCTCGCCACCCCCCAGGCCGGGGGGGGCCGGAGAGTCCCAGGGACACTTCCGGGAGCCTCCAGGGGGGCATGCTAAAACGACGCGAAGATCGGGACAAAATCGGATCGGGATAACTCGAAGTCTCTGAGAATCGGCGGGTTTGGAGGATGTATTGGGCGCCGCGGCCGCTCCAGGGCGTTCCGGAACGCTCTGAGAGCGCTCCGGAACGCTCTGGAGCGATTTATCCCGATCCTAGCCCTGTTTTAGATATTGTATCGGCCCACAGCTTGGCGGCGATCGAGGAGGGGAAGCAAGAAGGAGAAGGCATTCTCAGAAGGCGGCGGGACTTCTCAGAAGCCCTCATGCCTTCTCAGCACTTCCCCCCCTCGCTCGCCGCCGAAGAACAACCAGACCCGAATGCGGATGTGCGACCGGCGGCGTGTCGTGTCAACTGAATAGGCCAACGTTGCCGAGGGGCTAAGCAGGCCCAAGAGATCAACGACCAGCGAGCGGCCCAGAAGGGAAGAGAGTGGAAGGCACCATGGGAAACATTGGCCCATTGTTTTCGGTGGTGCTCGCTCGCGTGGAAAGCCGATTGCGGCGGGGTGCCAACAACTTTGGCGACAGCGCCGCTTATTGTTGCTCTGCGTGCAATGGCTGCTCAAACCGGAATTTGTAGGGCGTTGGCCACGCAACAAAAATCAATCGCATGCCAGATCTGACGGTTTCGCAAGAACGCTATATCGCATGCGAGGGAATCGTACACATGACATGTGGTGAATAATTGCACATTTATAAGTTGAGTGCCCGACGACCACGCAGATATTCGCTTTTGACGCAGCGGCTGCATATGACAGCTTTGGTTCCTCAATTGGGGGCTTCTTTCTATTCAGGGAAGTGGAAGAAAATGCTCAAGTCCCCCATGGCCCCCATTCTTTCCACGCCCACGCAAAACGAGACCATCAAATGGGCTGGTGATGAGGAGAAGGAGAGGGTGGCAGCGCGAGACCGAGGAGATGAAGGGGAGGATTTCTGTGATGAGCGAAACGAAACAGGAGTAGGAGTACGAGCCAACTTTTCCATCCGCCTCCTCCTTCTCTGTCTCCTCCTCGTCATCTCCTCTTTTTTGTTAAAGAGCCGCATGTTGCATCCAACCACGGGCTGGAACCAACTTCTCCTCCACCTCGTCACCATTATCATTAACCCCCTTTCCCTTCTCAACGCCCACGTCTCCTATTCCCTCCCCTCTTCCAGGGCATCGCCTTGCAACCGTGACGCAAGGAAAGCCCTTCTGCTCAGCCGCATGCGCGTCGGTAGCGTGGCACCGTGGCGACGCGCACACCAGCGTACGACTGAAACTTCCTGGCTAGTCATCTGTTCGAACTCGGTCCGCTGCAGCCCGCGTCTTGGTCCTGCGGCGGGACGCGAATGTCGTGGGGGTCATCTGGACACTCTCAGCATAGGAGGGAGAGCACTGGGAGGAGAGCAGGTGTCAAAGCAAGGCAAGGGCGAACGTCGTGGTGGTGAGCTGAGGATATACGTTAGGCGTTCGCTCTGAAATGGGGGGTCTGGCTGCTGTGATTTGAGACCTGGCCGACTGAGACGTGGCACGCAACAGTGTCGAGAAGCCTCACGGCGCCGTGCAGCGGCAGTTGGATGACACCCCATGTGTTCCTCATCTCTCTCTCTCAATTTCTCTCTCTCTCTCTCTCTCTTCTTCTCTTTATCTTTCTATATGTTTATATCTTTCCTTTTCGCTCTCTTTCTCTCTCTCTCTCTTTTCCATATGCGTTTGTGAATTTACAGACTCAGCAAACATGTATACACATGCCTGTCTATATGTGTAAATACACATATATACATGTAGGTCAGTATGTCTGTATGCAATCATGTGTGCATGTAAGTACGTATGTACGTATGCATGTAGGTGTGTGTACTGGTATTTAACTATCAGGCACGCGCGCATATCACATATATATATATATATATATATATATATATATATATGAATGTATCTGTATAGGTATATGTATGTCTAACGCATACATCTATATGCTCGCCCCCCATGCCCCCCCCTACTGCACCTTCGATTCCCGCCCGTCCTTCCGCCTGACCTCCCTCACTTCCTCATCCAGATCCTTTTTTTCCATCTCCGGCACCATCCTCATCCAACCACCCCCTTCCCTCCTCGTATCCCTCCTCTCGTCGTCTTCCTCCTCCGCCTCCTCCTCCTCGTTATCCTCCTCCTTCCCTCCTCCTCCTCCTCCCCTCCTCCTCCTCCTCCTCCTCCTCCTCCTCCTCCCCCTCCTCCTCCTCCTCCTCCTCCTCGTTATCCTCACCCTCATACCCCCCCGGTGGGGCACATCTGCCCGCGCCGTGCTGGGCGCTCCGCCTGGCATCTGGGGCCCGCGACTCTGTCCCTCCTCCTCCTCCTCCTCCTCCTCCTCGTCCTCCTCCCTCTCCTCCCTCCCCTCCTCCTCCTCCTCCTCCTCCTCCTCCTCCTCCTCCTCCTCCTCCTCCCTCTCCTCCTCCTCGTCCTCCTGCTCTCCTCCTCTCTCCTCCCCCCTCCTCTCTCCTCCTCCTCCTCCCCCTCCTCCTCCTCCTCCTTTTCCTCTTCTGCCCGTGTTTTCTTGGAGCCTGCCGGAAAGGCGGGTCCGGTGGACATGTCAGGCCTCCAAGAGGTGGATCGACGAGATCGGGTCCCGCTTCTTTTGTCATTACTCGGTCGTTCTTTGTTTTCGCCCCTTCGCCCCTGGCAGCGCGAGGCGGGCCTGATGCCCCCCCCCCTAGACGCCTCTCGATGCGTGCCGCTGAGGGACCGTGGAGCAGGACGGAGAAGTACAGTGGTGGAGCGCGCCTCTCTCTCTCACTCTCTCTCTCTCTCTGTCTGCATATATATACATATATATATATATATATGCTTGTTTGGGTTGGCCCTCGGGCGGTGGTGAGGTCGGCTGGCACGTTGGGCCATCCGCCGAGGGCCGGCAGCACCACTGATCGCGCACGCAGCGAGGCCACTCGCTGCACCAACCACCTCTTTCTCCACCCCAGATTTCCTCCTCCTCATCCGCCTGGTCGTCCTCCTCCACCTCCTCCTCCTCTGCTCTGCGTCCCTCCCCTCTTCCGCATTTGCTGCGTCCTCTGCATCCTGTGCGCCCTCTACACAATCCTCCTCCTTCGACTTCTTCTGCTCTTCCTCCTCCGCCTGTTCATCCTCCTCACCCCCCTCCGACGCCTCGTTTTCCCTCTTGCAATTTGCCTGCTCAGCGCCGCCTCGCCGCCCCTCCCAGCCCCTGTTGGTCCTCACATTGCCTTCCCCTTCGCTCGGGGAGGGGGACGGGAAAGAATACGAGAAAAACGCTGACGAAGGTAAGACGGAAGGGCGGGTAGTAGAGGGGAGCGGGAGGGTTGTGACGAGGAGGCGGTGGAGGAGGAGGAGGAGGAGGAGGAGCCGGAAGAAGAGGATAACAAAGAAGACACATAAACATAAACAAACCACAACTCCACACCTTTCCGTGCCACTCCCGTCAGCGCCGCACCCTGCCTACCTCCATCCATCCTCCCTCCGTTATCCTTACCCCCTCTACTGTCGAAGAAGCGATGTGCCGAATTGTCCACGCACAAACGTAAACATCGACATAGAGCAGGGGCGACGGAAACTGCAAAATCCATCGCAATTCTACCAGCGGCGGCAGCAATAGCCACAACAATAGCATACAAACAATCTTCTAACCGCTTCGCCCTGTGCGATGTGGCGGTGATATTGGAGTACGCATTCGCCACCGCATCAAGCATAGCAACACCACCATGACTTACATACATACGGGGACTACCATCAACACCCATGGCGAATTCAATTGCGTAGCCCCACCCCCTTCCAAGAGGTGCCAGAGGATGACGGGACGGAGGAGGATCAACATCAGAGAGCAAAGTGGGGAACCTAACGGTGGCGCGCGAGGACGGCGCGCGGGAATAATGGGGCCGCCGATTTTGTCAATTTCTTTTTTTCGGCCTCCCCTGAATCAGCTGAAAGAGGGCGGGTCAGATGCACTACGAGCGTAGCTTTTCAAATGTCTCAAAACCTGATTTCAGCTGTACCAGCGCTCCGAATACACCTTTGCCCAGCCTGCTCAGATGAACTCGTAAGAGATGTCGCAATGGCCAAAGCGCTGCGAATAGAAAAGGAAGTCGTCGGCAACCTGGCAGAGCGTCCAACTGGACGTTCAGGGCAAGTGCCCGGGCCTCGCAGGTCGTCGAGCTCTTCGTCTGCATCGTGTCGAAGATTCAATGGCTTGATCAGCTTCACGCCATCCACGCCAAGGAGCTGGACTTGGACGCGGTCCCCGTGATGTCCGCGGACTTTGCCCACTTGCCAATTGAGCGTGCCAGACGAGAGTCCGCGGGTGAGAACCAGATCGCCAGGCACGAAATGGACGCTCAAGGAGGGAACCACATTCTCTGCTGTGGCTGTTTGCGCCCTCGCCTCGTTGTCAGAACTCGAGGGTCGCATCCGAGATATATAGTCCGCACCTCCCTCCTCACGCTGGCCAGCTCCTCGTCCATTTCGGTCCGTATCTTCTGGCCCTCGGACACAGCACGAGCGTGAACGACATCCACCAAAGTCGAGACCGAACCACCAACAATCGAAGTAGCCTTTTCACTCGACAGTTCAAGACGCTCATCGGCATTGCCCTGCATCTCATCCTGGAAATCATCCAACACTTTGGCCACCTGCCGTTGGACAAACGTTTTCAGGACGGCTTCCGTGTCGGGGCCGGGAGCCTCGGCGTCGCGCTGCCCACCGAGGGGCTGTCCACCACAAAAAACAACAACTTCCAGCTTTGTTGGCAGTCGGTCGTCGAGGGGTTCGCCGACGCACCTGCCCAGAGATGTTGCGAGACCACGAAGACGAGCGTCCAGCTCGGCAGTTGTTGCACGAACGTGAGCCTCCAGGCGACCCAGTCTGTCCATCGCCTCCTGCTCGCAAGGGGAAGCGGTGACCGCTGGGAGGGTATCGGCCTGGCGCTTTGGCTGTCCGCGCAGCAGGGCAATCGTGGCAAGGTGGGCCTCGACCAATGTGTGCGGCCCATCGTCCACCAGACACGTCTCAGAAGCTCGGCCACGTGGCTTGCCCAAGCAACGGGGGGCAGGTAAACACCGACCACGGAAGACCGTGAACGTAATCTCGGATTCGGGGCAGCACCAACACTGGGAACAATGTTTACTACTTGTGGCAATGATTTTTCTATCGCCAGCTCTTCGACTAAACTGGCGACACCGGGGGCAGCAAGGACAAGCAAATGAGCACCTGCTTTGAGCTGTGGACGCACACGACGCCGGCAGCAGCGTCGAGTCGTCGAGGGAAGCAGCGAAGACATTGATATTGCTTCGCGCTCGAAGAAAGCAGGCGGACGATTGGGCGACATCTTTCCCTTTGTGAGGGCAGGGCGCGTGCCTCGTGCGCGTCCGCCAGGTATTCCCTCGCCCCCCCCTCCCTCCCCTCCACCTCTCTGCCGCCCCCCCTCCTCCTCCTCCTCCTCCCTCCTCCTCCCTCCTCCGATCCTCCTCCTCCTCCTCCTCCGCCTCCTCCTCCTCCTCCTCTCCTTCTCTCCTCCTCCTCCTCCTCCTCCTCCTCCTCCCCTCCTCCTCCTCCTCCTCTCCTCCTCCTCCTCCTCCTCCTCCTCCTCCTCCTCCTCCTCCTCCTCCTCCCTCCTCCTCCCTCCTCCTCTCCTCCTTCTCCTCCCTCCTCCTTCCTCCTTCTCCTCCTCCTCCTCCTCCTCCTCCTCCTCCTCCTCCTCCTCCTCCCCCTCCTCCTCCCTTCTCCTCCCTCCTCCGTGGCCTCTCCGCGGGTACCCCCCCGCGGGCGCCTCGAGGTCCGACGGCACGTCGGCCAGGAACGCGCGCAGCTGCTCGCAGATGGCCGGATGGGTGGACGCGTCGATGACCTGCAGGTCCTGGCGCAAAAGGAATCAATTTGTAATCCGCCACAAAAAGAAACAACGTGTAATCCGCAAACAACGTATTTGAAACATCTCCCAAACTCCTCCGCGAGCCTTGTTCCAGGGGGCGGAGACAAAACCCGTACGGGGGGGGGGCCTTCTCTCCACTTCCCCCCTGCTCCCAACCCGCGCTCCCCCTCCCCCCTCCCCTCCCCGTCCTCTGCCCTCTCCCCCTCCCCCCATCCCCCCCGTGCCCCCCAGCCTCGCCTGCTCCTCCTCCGCCTCCTTGGCCTTCGGGTCGTCCCTTTTTCCCTCTTTCCCCCTCACCTTCCCCATCGCTTTCTCCTTCTACTGCTCTTTCCTCCCCCCTCGCTCCTTTGTTCCCTTTGCTTTCCTCTTTAGCTTTGCAATCCGCCCACTCCCCCCTCTCTTTGCTTCCTCCTGGTGGCCTCTCAGTTGCTCCCCTTGCCAAATTTCCCCCCTTTCCGCCTTGCCCTTCCCCTCTCGCCCTTCCTTATGCCGCCTTGCCTTTCGCCTTTCTGGCTCGTCTTCTCCGTCTCTTCCGTTGACGTTGTATCTTATAATTGAGATATGTCCCACACAGTGCTTGCTCTTAGGGCCGCTTACTTCCTCCCCAACTACAGGCTGTAGTGCTTGCTTCTGGAATAAGCAACTGGGCGTGCGGGTCAGTCTGGCGGCCATGTAGTCGCCGTCGTTGCTCCGTCGTCGCCTCGTTGCCGCCCGTCGTGTGGGCCTGCATTGCTTCGCATTGTTTTGCGTTGCTATGCCATGATCTGCTGGGCGTTGCATGGTTTTGCCTTGCTCTGCGTTGCGTTGGCTTGATATTGCCTTTGCTATGCCAGGCCTTGCATGACTTGGCATTGTTTTTACTTGCTTTGAATTGCTACGCGTGACGTTGCATTGCTGTGCGTTGCGTTGCTTGGCTGCACATTGACTTGCGTTGTGTTGCTTGGTATTGTTCTGCATGGTTGTGCATCACTTCCATTGCATTGCTTTGCATTGCATTGCAATGGATTGCGTTGCTGTGCATTTCGTCGCATGGCTGTACGTTGCTTTGCATTGCTTTGCGTTGCTTTGCGTTGCTGTGCATTGCATTGCGTTGCATTGCTTTGCGTTGCGTTGCATTGCGCTGCAAGGCTTTGCCTTGCTTTGCAAGGCTATGCGTTGCTTTACATTGCGTTGCATTGCGTTGCATTGTTTTGCATTGGTTTGCATTGCTTTGCTGGGCTCTGCATTGCGCTCAATTGCTTTGTCTTGCTTTGCACTGCATGACTCTGCATGGCTTATGTGCCACATCGACAGCACCACAGGGATGGCTCCATCCAGATTGCGCCACCCAGATTGCACCGCCTCGATCGCACAGCCTCGATGGCAAGACGTTGCTGCTTTTTGCCCACGCTGGCCAGCACCTCCTGAGGAACCGGGCCAATCTGCGGGCCCGGCGACCCCGTTCCCACGCCGCCGCCGCCCCCCCCGTGCCTCGAATGCACGGCCCGTCCGCGGCCCCAGCGGCTCCGGTCCCGTCCGTCGCAGCACCACGCGGTGGCACCACAGAGCTCGAGTGCACCACACAGCTCACGCTACGCGGTCTACACCACACGGCTTCTGCACCGCGTGAACTGCACCACGTATTTTGCACAACACAGGGTGCACCGAAGGGCTTGCCCCACGTGGCACACGCCACACAGCCTGCACCACAGATCTTGCACCACACAGACTGCATCAGCTGGCTTGCTCCCCATATCTCATACCACACAGCCTGCACCCCGCACGCTGCACGACGTAGCTTGCTCCACAGAGCTTACCGTGCCTACCTTGGACAGCACAGCTTGCGCCGCGCAGGTTGCACCACGTATATCGCACCGCACAACTTGCACCACACAGTTTGCACCGCGCAGCTTGCACCACATAGCGTACACAGCCTGGTTACACCACAACGCTTGCACATCCAATGCAATATGTTACTTACTGTTTATGGCTTACGCTTGCCGGCATATCCTTCCCTTTTTCGTCATCCCTCTCCTTCTCATTCTCCCTCTCGTGGTGGTGGTGGTGGTCATCGCGCTCGTTGTGTTCCTCTGTGCATTTCCTCCTCCTGATCCTCCTGCTCCTACCTCTGATCCCGCCATTGCTGCTACTCGAGCTCCCGCCCCTTCCCCCTCCCCTTTCCCTCACACTCCCATGTCCACCTCCACGTTTCCACCTCCTCCTCCTCCTCCTCCTCTTTCGCTTCCTCCTCCTCGGCAAACTTATGTTCCTTAGTATTTTTCTTCTTATGCGATTCCGCCTCCTCCACGCCCCAGGCCCCCGGCCTGGCCCATGGCGCCCCCACGACGACGTCGAAGGCGACCGCGACGACGCAGGCGACCACGACGACTGCGACGACGACGACGACGACGACGGCGACCCCCATCGCTGACACAGCCGCGGAATCCTCGGGGATCTACTGACCCAAGTCAGTCCGAGCCCGGGCCAGTCCGGCTCTGCAGGATCCCGCAGGATCCCGCAGGATCCTGCACGCGGGCCCGGGCCAGTGCGCCCGTGGCTCTGCAGGATCCTGCAGGATCCGGCGTTCTGGGGGACCCCCGTCTGCACTGACGTAGGTCGGTCGTGTCTTCCTACGGGCGAACTCTGGAATGCAACGCCAAATAGTCAGAACTTAATCAAACACAGTCCCCACAGCACGATCAACATCGTCACCAGACTGTGCTTTCACTGCTCTTGAACCTTCCTCCTGTGGAGGGGCATGCCCGACTCAAGCCTCCCAGAGATGCGACGCCGTGATTTTTCCACTGCGGGGTCCCCAGAAGGGCCGACCCATTCCCCAGGACCTCTTTTTCTCATCCCGAGTCGTGTTTGACGGTCCCGGGTCCGGTGAGGGCCCCTGGAGGCCGAAAATTGCGAAAAACGTCCGTCGAAATTCTTCAGAGCGTGAATTACCTGCCCCGCTTCGCTTCCAGGCAAAACCAAACCATACCACGCGCCTCCTCGTCAAGCGGCCTGACCAGTACAGGCCGCAGTTTGGCAGTGTTTGGTATCTCTTGGAAGCGAGGGTGGTCAAAAGCGAGGTAGGTTTGTTTTCCCCCGAATCTTGGCCGATGCGTTGGATCTCTGGGATCGGCCCCCGCTCCAGGAAGCCCCCGGGCAGCCCGCCTCTCCTCGGGCAGCCCGGGCGCCCCGCCCGCCGCCGGTGCCGCGCGCTGGCGCACCTCCTCCGCGCCCGGCACGTCGAGCAGCTCGCACAGCAGCGGGCTGTCGAGCTCGCCAGCGGCTGCCTCCGTCATCGTCGTCGTCGTCGTCGTCGTCGTCGTCGTCGTCGTGATCCTCGGGGGAAGGCGAGAGGGGGCGGGCCTCCTCAGGAGGCTCGGCAGGCCTCGAGCCTTCTGGGACATTCTCCGAGGCTTCCCCGAAGACGAAGACAACGTCCCAGGACTGCGCGAGGGCTTCTGAGACGTCCCGCCGCATTCTTAGAAGGCCTTCTCCCCCTGACTTCCCCTCCAGCCTCGCCGCCGACCCAGGCGGTCAGGGAGGGAGGGCGAAGATGCGCGGTTCGAGGTTTTCTGACGTCGGCTCTGGAGGGCGGTGTCATTGGACCTCCCTTTCAACCCACTCGTAAAAAAATTGTTTTGCCTCCAAACAAACACCATAATCCCCCCTCATGTTGTTTTTGTTGAGGGGAGGGGGCTGTTTTTCCTTCAAGAACCCCTAGTTGGGAAGGATTCGCGGCGGTGTTCCTGGCCAGCCTCCAGGAATTCCTGTTCGGGACCCCCCCCCGGAAAACCCCTCTAACCCCTCTGAAGGAGGTGGTCGGAGGTTTTCCCCCCAGACTTCCCCTGACAGATTTTTCATAAAAAAAGGGTGAGGGCGCGGGGAGGTTCGGTGGGTTTTCCCCCTGGACTCCTCCCATCAGGAGAATTTGTTTTGGAGGTCAGGGGGATTATGGAAATTTTCCCTCGGGCCCCCCTCCCCCCGCAGGGAAATCTTTCAATGTGGCGAGATTTTCCCTGGCCCTCCCACTTAGGGGGACGTTTTTTGGGGGCTGGGGGGTGTTTGGGGTGTTTCCCCCCTCGAACTATCCTCTCAATTCTTTTTAAAGGGCGCTCGGGGATCTTAGGGGTGCTTTCCCCCCAGACCCCGCCTCAAGGGGGTCGGGAGGGTTGCAGAGGTTTTCCCTCCGGACCCCCCACAAGGCTTCCTAAAAGGAGGCATGAGGTTAAAAGGATTTCCCATCCGGAGCCCCACCTCAAGGGGTGGTGATTCGAGGAGGTTCCAACTGGCTGCCTGTGCGGAAGCTGCTAGTGCACCGCGCTACTTCGAGTTGTTCCTCTTGGGCCGAAACACGATGTGCAAAGAACAACTTACGCATTCGGGTCTGATTGTCCACACGGTGAGGGCATTGGATCAGGAACCCTTACAAAGGAATCCAAGGCCTGGAAGCTGGTGATACTCCGATCGTGGATCGGTCATGGATAACACTTCCGCCCTCATCAGATAAGGAATCCCCCAGGGTCTGAAACCTCCTGGGCCCATTCCTTAACGAATGCCCCCACCGCATTGGCCATGGCGCATGCAAGGCACTTCGAGAGCAAGCGGCGTCAACAGGCCAAGGTGGCACGTGCCTCGGCCTTGCGCAGCGCAGCCCGCACCACGATGAAATCCGCCAGCCCTGGCTAAGAGCCTCCCTGGCCTTCTGCAGCCGACGTGTCTCTGAGCGTCTGAGGCCGTGGGACATCCTGCCCGAGTCGCTGACAGACAAGCAACACAGACCTTGAGCTTCGAGAGAGAGAGAGAGAAAGAACATGCGAACCTTCTCCTCCTCCTCCTCCTCCTCCTGCTGTGGTTGCTTCTGCGACTGCTCCTCTTCCCGCTGCTCCTGTCCTGCTAGTCGGACAGCTCGTTTCGTCGATTGCTTCGTCGCAACACTAGGAGCAAACAAACGCTCTGCCCTCTCCCGCCAGAGCGAGCGACACAACACCTGGCCTTGCTCCCGAAACCTGACAGTTCGAGGCCACAGTGATACAGCGCTTGACGGACTCGCCTCGAGAGGCAAAACACGGCATACGCAGAAACTGGCCGAGGCCCGCGCGGATTTCTCGGATCCGCGCTGGTGCGCCCCCCCCCCCCCCCCCCCTGGCGGGCGGAGCGCGCCAAGGGGGGCGCCCCGGAGGCGCCGCCATGATGGGGCTCCGGCGCCGATCCACGGAACCCGCGCGGACTTGCGCCATTTTTTCTCCTTCTTCTACGTGTTTATAATATATATATATATATATATATATATATATATATATATATATATATATATATATATATATATATATATACTGCAACACACAATTCGTTCAAGAAGCAAACTATCAATGCATGGATGAATACACAAACGTACAAACAACCAGTATATTGAGGTGGTGCAGCGCTTCCGTTCAGACGGGCTCGTCCTGTCCATGCCGCCGCTGCAGATCTGCCCGGGAGCGCCGTCCGAAGCACGGGGGGTTAGGCACCGCGTGGGGGCGGCCTCTTGCTGCTGCTGCTGCCCGCTGCCCCTGCTCGTCGTGGCACGTCCTCGCCCCCCTCTCCGCGGATGCAGCGGCTCGTCCTGCTGGGGCCAGGCTGCTCGCGCCTGCAAGTTTTTGTTCTGTTGCGGCGGCGATCAGAAGAAACTGCGTGGGCATGGAATTTCCGCAGCGAGAGCTGCACACAATCTTCACGTACGACTGCGAGCAGTAGCCCCGGGCTCGGGACAGAAGACGAGCGCTTGGAAAGGCGTGTGTGCCGACAGAACGAATGGAAGAGGGCCGAGATGTTCCACTGCCGCACCTCGAAGCTCGACGGGCGCTTTTGTTGACGGGCAATCTGGGCGGCAGGCGCCATCGCCGACGCCCAGCGCGGAGCCCCCCTTCGTCATGCCACCTCGGGGAGCTGTGCGATGCGGTGCGCAGCCAGCCCTGCGAAGTCGGCCACGATGCCGCCGGCGCAGCGCAGGCCTCCCGGGAGCAGCAGCGCCTGCCCGCGCGCCGGCAGGCGCTCTCGCCATCCCGGACAAGCGCCGGCCAGCATGGTTAAACCGAGGCCACCGCGCTGCCGCCGCAGCGCAGGCGGCAGCCCTGCACGAGGGAGTGGGGCCACCGTGGGCGGCCCGCGAAAATCTCGGCCCGCTCGACGGGCGCACCGCACCGTCCACGGCTAGGTATGGCGGTGGTGGTGGCCTGCCTCCCCATCGAGGACTATGGATGCGCGAACTATCATCTTGGGGGGGGGCTGGGAAAGCGGGGGCACGTGTGCGAGACGCGATCGTCGGTCATCGCCGAACACGAACAGAGTCAATGATCTCTCCATCGATGTCCTGCACCTCATTCTCCCCACTCCGTCCACCCACCTTCCCCCGCATCCTCATCCTCTTCCTCCTCCTCCTCCTGATCCTCATCCGCCTGTTGCTTCTGCCCCTCCTCCTGTGTACAACACGTGATCTGACGATAACTTTTGACTGCTCGTGGAGGACGACGTGCAAAAGGTACCGACAGCATTCAACCCTTAAATCTCAAGTTCGTGTGGTTTGGTTCTTGCGCGTAGCAGTCGGCGCCAATACCCTGGGACTCACATTAGCGATCTACCTACGCTGACAAAAGTCGGAGTTCCTCCCCCTCCTCCTCCTCCTCCTCTTCCTCCTCCTCCTCCTCCTCCTCCTCCTCCTCCTCCTCCTCCTCATCATCATCATCATCATCATCATCATCATCATCATCATCAACAACGTGCATGCCTTGGGCTCTTTCTGCCCGGCGCTCGAAACCGAGGCTGCGTTATAGTGCCGCATCGCACAAAACATGGGAGCCCGACGGTGGGTTAGAGTGAATAAGTGAACGTGTTATGGACACAACAAAATCGCCAATTGATCCTGCTGACAGCCATCCGCCACTGTGCAGTGTGAGATGGCCAGTAGGCGCCGAATGGAATGTCCTCATGTCGAGATCCGAGATCCCCGTATTGAGCACTGTACGTGCTCGTAGGGCTTATACGTGATAGCTGTGCGTGATCCTCGTCTGCGACCATTGTGTGTGTGAACATTGTGCGTGAGCGTAGTGCGTGAGCAGCGTGCGCGAACATTGCGGCGTGAGCACTCCCGTGTGGAGCATCGTCCACGAGCCTTGCGCAATGAACATCCTCAGGCCCCCACGGGGTTCCCGTGCCGAGCATCGTGCGTGCTCGTAAAGAGAAAGGGCCAGAACACACGCAGAGGAGGAGGAAGGGGAGGAGGAGGCAGAGGACGAGGAGGACGAGGAGGAGCCAGTCTCCTCCTCCTCCTCCTCCTCCTCCCCCTCCTCCTCCTCCTCCCTCCTCCTCCTCCTCCTCTCCTCCTCCTCCTCCTCCTCCTCCTCCTCCTCCTCCTCCTCCTCCCCCTCCTCCTCCTCCTCCTCCTCCTCCTCCTCCTCCTCCTCCCTCCTCCTCCTCCCTCCTCCTCGCCCTCAGTCGCTATGGGGCGCTCTGGCGCGCTCGCTCGGACGCCTCCGCGTGCCTCCCTTCCGGAGGGCCCGGGTTAGCGCGGGCGGCAACGGGCCTCCGCACCGGGGGGTCCCCGGGCGGGGCTCTTTCTGTGCAGGTCGTGGGTCGTGCTCGGAAGGTCCACGGGAGGAGGAGGAGGAGGAGGAGGAGGAGGAGGAAGAGGAGGAGGAGGAGGAGGAGGAGGAGGAGGAGGAGTAGGAGGAGGAGGAGGAGGAAGAGGAGGAGGAGGAGGAGGAGGAGGAGGAGGAGGAGGAGGAGGAGGAGGGCCGACGGCGTCGAAGCACGTCAGTGCTTTCGTTGCCGATGCGGCGGGGAGCTGGGCTCCCTTCTGCCGAGGTCTGGGGCATGCCGCCCCATCGGTGGGCGGCCGGTATCGAACGCAGGGCAACGGGCCTCGACCTCCAACTTGCTCCAGATCTTGGCGGCCTCTTGGGCCGTCTTGGAGGCCGTCCCAAGAGGCTAACATCAAGAGTCCATCAGAGTCCCCGAATCAGAGCATCGCAAACAGAAATTGGCGAGACCTCGGTGCACGGAAATTTCATAATGACCCCATGACCGTTGCGCCAAGGCCAGAAGGCGGTGATCCCGCACTTGGTCACGGCACGCGACGCGGCTTCGCCACGACTGAAGGAGAAGAAGGAATGACACTGATTGGAACGAAACTCCGCCGATCGATGTCGACCGCAAGGCAACAGCTCTCAACCTCCAACATGCTCTAAATATTGGCGGCCTCTTGGGCCGTCTTGGAGGTCGCCCCCAGAGGCCAGCATCTCTGAACCTCACTAGGGCTTGGGTGACAGTTCATGACTCCCAGCTGTTCCGTACCAGGAGCGTCCGAGATGCTGCAACCGACCTCCATGATCGCCCGAAGGCGGCCCCCAAGAGTGGCCCCAGAGGCCCCTACACCTGCTTTCGGAGCTCTGCGCCCCAAGATGGCTCCAAGGGGGTCCCCCAGAGGCCCCGAAGAGGTCCCAAGGAGGCCCCACAAGGATTCCCAGAGGCCCGCGGTACACCGCGAGGAGCCTTCTTCGAGGCCTCTCGAGTGGCCCCAGGAGCCTCTCTGGTCAACGACCCCGTCACGGTGACGGGGTGCGCCGACTGCCACTCGATCTAGCAGAGATGGAGGCTGGAGACTCAGAGCATGACCCAGTAGGTCGAAGCTGTCAAGAGCAACCGAGGGGAGACGATCGACGGTGCTGGGCATGCACACCCAAGGCCGCGCGTCCTACTCCAATGTGTCGACCTTCCTTCCGGGACGACGCGTGCAACGTCGCGCGACACCTCCCGAGACTCTTGGGGAGGGCATCGTGCACGAGGCGCTGGGAGCCAGCGCAGACCCTGGCCAGAGCCGGTGTGCCGGAGAGGCCGTAAGTACAACGTGTCTCCGCCTCGCTGATGGCAGTGGCAATACGCAGAGTCAAACAAGCTGATGGTAAGGACGCGCGATGAGGATGCAAGCCCCTCCGACGCCCATGCCGAAGTTTTTCGAGCGGGGCTGACCATCGAACATGGCTGAGGATGGAACGCGAAGGAAACTATGCAACACGAGCCCTTGGGAAACTTGCCCATCCTTGTCATCGATTTCGACTGCATCTCGCCCGCCTCTCGCCCTTGCCTGTCCCGCTCCTGTTGCCTCGGCTCCGACCCGCGTGGGGCAGCGGCGTTCTGCCGTAAGGCATCTCCAATGCTCACCTCCCGCGTCAACGCCACCTGGCCAGGCTCTGATGCCGCCGCGTGCCACTGTCAAAGCTGATAGTAAGGGTGCGCGATGAAGATGCAAGCCCCTCGACGCCCAGGTTTAAAGCTTGTTCGAGCGCGTCGGGCCATCGAAAGTAGTCAGCAATGGATCAAAGAAGCAAGGGTGCAAGGGTACCCTTGGGAAGGGTGCCCATCGTTACCGTCGATTTCGACTGTAGCCTCCTCTGGCGCAAGGACAAGCGACAAGCACGGCGCTGTGGGGCCTTCTAGTGTGACTCCGCCTGAGGATGCTCCCTGAGATGCTCTTGCTGCTAGTGGCTGCCCATGTTCTCAGATCGACGGCCTCAAGAGGCATCCTTTTCCTTTTCCTCCTCCTACCTCTCCACCCCCTCATCCTCCTTTCCCTTTCTCTCCTGGGTATCCCCCAAGGGTTCCACAATGGCTGGGGGGAACACATAGTCCAATAACTTGGCC